ACACAAAGACCAGTTTGACTAGTGCTGGGGCAGGAAGATAGATAGCCAGGAAAGGTAAGATCACATAAGGTCTTCGGACCAATAACATGGAGAGAACATTGGGACATTTAAAGCCAAAGAGGGACTGCACACTCTGGCTGCTAAAACACATGGCTGGTGAGAAGCCTTCTGGAGTAGCTCAGGGAGATGATAGAGGCCTCAGTTGGAGCCGAACAGCTGATGGATACAGACAGTTAAGTGTGGGCATCCTGTGATTTAGAAGTTGATTAGAGGAAGTGAAGCCAGCAGAAGAACTGAGAGTTTGCAAAGCGAATTGGGTGGATGTGGTGTGCCGACACTGGCAGAAGACTTTTAGGGACACTCACCTTTTCCACCCTTGCCAGAAGACCTATTTTAATGAGGGCAGTAGGCCACACCGGCTTTATGAAACATGTCATGGCTACAGTAGTGACTGTTAGGACAAATGACCCAAGCCAAAAGAGTGACTAGATACTATTTTGATGGGATGTTGGGTGTTACCCAGAGGGATTATTGAATTCCCCAGGGCATAGTCTTTTACATAACTCACTACTAGACACGCTGGTTTCCAACTTTGTAGCCATAAAAAGTAGCAGCTACATCAAGATTCTTTTCTATCCTTCTAAATTATAGTTATTGCCTTATAGGACATAACCATTTTCATAACTGCCAGCAAACTGCTCACACATTCAGCTCTTTGTTTGCATTTGCTTGTTCTTCCAATTCTCCTTTGAACTGGACTTAACATCTAATTGGTTCCATTCATTAGCTAGCAGGTGAATAAAATTCTTGACATGGGTTGTTTTTCTGTTTGAGCAGCCAAGTTTTAACTTTTTGAAATTGTACTTTAAAGGAACCAATGGTTGCCCTGGGTTGAGAAAAGCAACAGTATAAACAACTCTTCCCGGGTTAGTAGAAAAGGATCTTTCCTGCTTGCTGTGAAGAGAGAAATGGAACAGAATGAGGGGTAGAGGATGCCTTTTGTTAAGCCATGCTTTTTAGGTCGGTAAGAACGGCACAGCAGGAAACAGGAAATTAATGATGCAAGAGCAGAGAGAGACTGGGGTTTCTCAAAGAATTCAATGGGATGTCCAGCATACATATTCAGGTAATAGAGAAAGCAGATCAAGTAAAGGAAATGAAAGCAAAATAGTGTATTGATTTGTTAGGCAGTGCTGGGGCCTCAGGCATATGTAAGTGCTCTACCACTGAGTCACAGCTCCAGTGATATGTGATAGGTAGGGCTTTAGTTGAGGGGGGAGGTGGGGAGGGAAAGGGAACTGGGATTGACATGTAAAACAATCTTGTTTCTAATTCAAATTAAAAAAAAGATGGAAAAAAAAAAGAAGGAAATCAAGCAAGCAAAGAAATCAAGCAAAGAAAGGAAACACAGTGGGTCTCAAAACATAAATATAGGGATGTCGAAGAAGCTTAAGAAAAGATGCTCACATCATGCATCATGAAGACATAGCAGACTGTACCGCACATCATCACTAAGAAGCAGCTTTGAAAAGGCTATTAGTGCCATTTCCATGGTACAACATTATGGAAAAGATCTGAAAACATGGAGAGCCTAGGCAGGTCAGTTGCTGCATAGGGGTATTAGGGTAGGGGAGCATTGAGGATGTTTTAGGACAGTGAAACCACTCCCTGCTATGCTCTAATAGTGAATACAAGTTGTCACACATTTGCCCCAATTTAAAATAGTGCGGAGAATGAACCTTTCTGTGACCCTTAAGACTTTGGGTGACAATGATGTCAACTAGGCTCACCAGTTCTAACAAATATACTATTCTGGTGAGGGAATGTTAATAATGCGGAGTCTGTGTGAGACCAGACAGAGAGAGGGTATCTCTATACTGCTCTAAAAATTAAAGCAAAGCCTTTTTGCTTTTATTAGAAACTAAGATTAGACAACTTCTGATTTTGAATCTTGAGTTTCTGCCAGTATCCCCATGGCTTGCCTCAAACTGGCCCTCTATGTGAGTTTGCCCCCTACAGAACTCACAGTGTAAGTTTGGGAACCCCGTGTTCATTGGTTCCCACCAATCATCACAAACTACAGATAGTATAGTCACTCAGACTGGAGAACCCAGTTTTAATAACCTTTGTCTCATGCCAGCTGTGAAATAAAACTATTCCCCCTTCTGATTGGCACACCCCAATATAAACTTCATAGTAACCAGCCTTCAGAACTTTGTAACATTTGCTTACTGGTCCTGACCAATGTAAGACTTAAAACTACATTAAAAAAATAATTTAGTGTGTGTATTTGGGCATGTGAGTATTGGAGATCAGAGGACAACAAACCCAGGGAGCTGTTTCTGGTTGTCTTTGTCCACCATGCAGATGCTGGTAACAAACTTACATCATTAGTCGTGGCAGTAAGGACCTTACTTGATGCCCCCCAATGATAGATTCTAACTAAATATTAGGTGATTTTTAAGTAGTCATTTCCTTCTCATATACTCTACCAATTTCCTGTAATCAATTATGGAAAGTTAAAAAAAAAAAAAAAAACTCACAAATGAGTCTCTTTTGTTTGTTTGAAACAGGGTTTCTCTGTATAACAGCCCTGGCTGTCCTGGAAATCGCTCTGTAGACCAAGCTGGCCCTGAATTCACAGAGACCCACCTGCATCTGCCAGCCTGAATGCTGGGATTAAAGGTGTGCATTGCCACTGCCCAGCTGACAGATGAGTCTTCATGTATGTAACTATAATCACTCTGACATTAACCATAAGACAGTGGAATTTCTTTTACTAAAGTAATTTGTGGATGAAAGGAAAAAAAAGTCTTTTAGAAGGGAAGTTAAGATGTTATCTTCATATTTGATTAGGATTTCTCAGGAACAAATACCATAATATGTAATGTTTTTCATCCTTAGCACTTGAACATTGTAGTCTCTGTTATCAGCTCATCTTGATAGACTACTTAATTTCTTATACTAAATCAAAATCCTTCTAGCACCAGACATGTACACTATTTGTCATCATCTACTTTTTCCACGTGAGGTACCAAATCCACACTCTTGGGAAGGAGCTTAGCATTACCTCATCTCCATTAGCTAATACCCAGCTGGAGACAAATTATTCTAGGGATGGTGATCTCATCTTTAAGGATTAAAAAAAAATCTCTTCAGAGATGTATAGACTGTCCCAGATGATAGCAGGAGCTTAGGTTATTAAAGTGGAGAAAATAAACAGTGTTTTACAACAATACATTCTGGCTCAACAACCGACTCACCACAACTGTTTCTGACATGCTGAAGATCCCTGCATCAGTTTAGGATTCAAATGACTAAAAAGGTTCAGAAATACATTTGACTGTCACCAGGAAGCTGTGGGTCAATGCATTTGGCTACATGACAATCTGGAATTTGGGGCTTATACTCACTTATCTAGTTCCCAGCAACAGCAATCAGATGTTCAAAAGTTTGGATATGTTGGTATAAATTTACTGTCACCCTGAAATAGAGCTTTCCTTAAAGAAGCAAGAAGCTGGAACTTATTTCTATTTACACAGTTCTTGTCCAGAGGATTTTCCTTACAACCGTGGAGGAAGACAAAACAAGTAATCTTCGGAATTAAAGCACAGAACCAGAAGTTATTTCTAAAATTAAAAACTAGACAGTGAGATATGATGTATCAATAACAACTTGAAACAAGACAAATACCCATTACAACATAGATAGATGAAAGCTCACCTATGGTACAGATTTGAAATGAGATGTTACGTTAGTACAAACCACTTTTAGAGGTAGGGTGTGTGTGTGTGTGTGTGTGTGTGTGTGTGTGTGTGTGTGTGTGTGTGTGTTTTATGCGTGTGTGTGGGAGGGTGTGCTTGTCTATACCACAGGGTGGCCAGAGGTAGACTTCTGGTATTTCCTCTATTGCCTACCACCTTATTCTTTTGAGACAAAAATCTCTCACTGAACCTGGGCTTCTCTATTTTGGCTAGACTAAGGCAATGCATGCTGGGATTTGCCTGTCTCTAGTGGGATTACACCACAGTTCACCACGAATGCTAGGGATCTGAACTTGGGTACACATGCTTGCACAGCAGGCACTTCATGTTCTGAACCATGTCCCCAGACTCAGTTTTGGATATTCTTAATCAGAGAATTTGTCTCCTATCATCAGCTGTTCCAATGGCTGACCTACAAAGACCTCATGAGGCAAGTCATCAAATCTAGTCTCTGCTTTGTAAATCTCATAGTGACATACAAGGGTCAACACTTTTCATTTCTGAATCCTCTCCTTAGATGTGAATGTTCAAAATTAGGAGTAAAGACTTAAGAAAGTCGTAGCATTTCAAAATAAGTATGTTTCTCACTTCCAGTTCACAGAAGCTAACCCGAGCAGTATGCAAGTATTTTCAATTGGGCTTCCCAATGACATGGAGGCATAACGGCCCCACTTTAGATTTTAGTTAAATGGAACTTGGAAAGTTAGTCACTTTTTAAGTGACAGAGCCACAACTCCAGCTCCAGGTAGCAAACCCCACTGTACAGTCTATAAGCCACTCAACACCACATATGGGGGACAAAGCTACAGTTAATTTGAAGGGAACAAAACCCCATAAGCCCAAGTGCTCTAATTAAATGAGATTAAAAAGCATATATGGCATGATAGAAACTGATTAAAAACTGAAATCAAATATATAGGTGTAACTCAGCATTCATGGATGACTGGTGCCAGAACCCACCTCCTATTGTAAATACAAGCCCAAAGCCTTTGTATAAAATGGTTTGTTTTTCACAGATAAGCTAAGCATCCCTACTACTTACTACTAATGATACCTAGTACAACATAAAACTTCTTTTTTTTTTTTTGGTTTTTCGAGACAGGGTTTCTCTGTGTAGTTTTGGAGCCTCTCCTGGCAATCACTCTGGAGACCAGGCTGGCCTTGAACTTACAAGAGATCCGCCTGCCTCTGCCTCCCGAGTGCTGGGATTAAAGGCGTGCACCACCAACGCCCGGCTACAACATAAAACTTTTAAAAAGTTTTGTTCAGTGGATGATTAAAACGTCTATACATTTCAATACAGATTCCATTTCTAGTCTGATAATCCTACCTACGTGATGGTAAAATCCACAAATGCACAAGGTCAACTATAGTGCACTTGTTGCAATGAAGAAAATAGGAGTAATAATTAGAATGTTTCTCATGCCACTGGGTAATTTTTGTATAAATGTAAACTATTTAAACATTCAGTGAAAGTCATTAAAATGTTTTCTATATGTCTACCTACCTTCCTGACAATAGGAATGTGAAGCCAGCATAGTGTGGCTCCTGGAAGCCCACCTCTCTATGTGTGCAGAACAATTTGAGAAACATCAGGATGGTATTTACTATCTACTAATGAGGACAAAGTCTTAGAAGAACTGGGAGTTTCATATTAAGTAAATGAAACAGAAAGATTATCAGTTTCACAGTAGTCTCGTTAAGAAAAGATTTCATCTGTAGTGGACCAGTGGATTTTTTGTTCTTTTGTTTTTTTTCAAATCTGTCCCACCTGGTCTCAGTTCCTTTGGGGATACATTGAACTGGTTGTTGCCATTGAGCCTGATAAAGTTAATCTTTTAATGTTTTAAAATAGAATAAAAGTGAAAAGGTGCAAGCTGGAAAGGAAAAGAAAATGTGGAGAACAGTTCAACTGTTTGTTTGGAGGAACAAATAAATGATCTTGTTTTCTTGTTTCTGGTACCGGCCACACAACCAGGGAGGCAGACTGGGGTAGAACTTAAAAGTATTATCTAACTCAAAGACCATAACTAATGCAATATCTTTGAAGAAAATAATGATTGTGTTGTAACTTTAGAAAGGAGATGAAGTGACTGTGTTGTTAGGTTTGAAAGTGAAACAGTAGAGTGGCACAGTAATTGCTTATATCAGATAAAGATAAAACGGCAGGAGGCACCCTTCTTCAGGATGACAAAAGCAATCTGATTTAATTAGGTGCAGTATTTCACTTCTGTTACTCTGTACCAGGTCCATTATTGCTACATTTCAAAAAACTGTCCACTAATTAAAACAGTCTTTCCAAAAAGCCTTATTCTGCTGGACAACAAATCAAAGCCAAAAGTTTAAACACTGGGTTGTGACAGGGATGATTCAAGCTCATGCCATGGCCACCACAACATTGGAAGTGGCTTCCCAGAAGCTAGCCAAACCCCCAGCCTAGCATCTCCTTCTGCTCTTTTACAATGACTCCACATTTCATACCTACCAATCTGTCTTAATCCACATTTTAATTAACCAGTTCATTGTAATCAAAGAAATGGGTGAGCATTCTCTTGTGAAAAAACAGTAAGGAGGGGTACCGCGATAAAGTCGGTCCCTAGTGGTGTTGGCTTAGTTTTGTAGGGAAATAATAAACAAGCAAAAGTAGAGGATGTGACACATCTGCTCTCAGGAAATGCCGGATGCAAGGAAGAAATGGGAAGATTTAACCTCGAATTGTTTACCTAGAACCGAACCGAAGTCGGAACTTCTATTCATAAGCAAATGTATTGGGAAAGGGCCAGGTACAAATCTGGCAGACACAGGTCTACAAGGTTCGGTGACTAGCAGCGGAAGGAGTAGGGGATGGGGTGGGGGGTCCGTGAGAAGACCAGAGAAGGAGGTTTCCTGGGTGACTCAACTGAGAATGGGGCAAAGCCTCAGCTGCTTAAGTCGCGCTTCAGAGTAGATCAATAATAAGTGTGAGTGAGGGAAGGGACATTAACTGAGCGTGACCCAAGGGATGTCAAAGCAGATCCCTACAGTGACTGACTAACAAAGGAATAAGCTGGAGTATTCACGAAAGACTTTGGGATGAGAAACAGAGTTGGGGAGCAATACTTAAAATCAGCTCACTGAAAGAACCAAAATCACACAGTGAACTGGAGAAAACCAGAGGTAGAGACTACACCGAGCAGTAGAGGGAGGCTAGGTCTCAGAGAGCTAGCCTCAAGGTCAACATCAGGCTGGTCTCCAGGCCCCAGGGGAGAACTTCCTTATCCATCCTTGGCTCCCGGGTCTACGCCTCGGCCTGGGGCTCCAGGATATCGCCACCTCCCGCCACTCGACCGCCACGCTCATCCGCCTCTGGGCTCGCCTCCCTCCGGCCCCTCTCCCGCCCCAGAAGCTCTAAGCTCGGGGCGATCTCCCGATCCTCCGGCTCCGCCTTTTGCTCCTCGGCGCGGCCCGTGCTCCAGACTCGGGGGTCTGAGTCCTCCTTGGGTTCACCCGGGCTCAGGGACCCTGGTGCGGCCTCCCGGGTCTGGGCTCCCAGCTTGGGATCGGGCCCCCAACGGGGTGTCTAGCTTCTCTGTCTTCAGTGCATGCCTGAGCAAGCCAGAAGGCAACACAAAGGATCCTCCGCCCAGATCGCCCATTTCCCCCACCTCCTGGAAGCAGCTGCAGATCCGGCAGGATAAGGACCGCAGCATAAGGCCGGAAAAGGCCCGGTGCAGCCAGCACTCACCGAGCCGCTGCAAGCACCACAGCGAAACACACACGACTTTGAGTTCACCAGCTTCTTCTTCTGCCCAGCAACCACAGCCTAACCCCCTGCCCTGGCTCCGCCTACATCCCGCCCCGCCTACGCCCCTCCTCCCAAACCCCTCACCACTAGCTGGGGTCCGTGCTCCGCCCCCTGGAGCCCGGCCGCCGCAGCCCCATCCTCTCGCAGGCCCCGCCCCCACTGGCCCCGCCCCTCCCTGGGGATTTGAAGCTCGGTTCCCGCCATCTGCAGCTTCCCCAGGCTGCGGCCTCCGGCTGAGGTGCATCACGTGAGGTAAATTTAGAGACGTCTTTAGGCCGCGCCTGATTCCGGGGGCACAAAGGTGGGTGTTCGGGGCGACAAGGAGAAAATAGGGCTGCACCCACCCCTCACTCGTAATCTCTACTTCCTCTCAAACCAGGGCCTTTCTTCACTTCCGTTCAACTCTGTCCCTCAGTCAGAAGTCTCAGCTACCTTACTGAATCCCGGTCTGTTTTAGATCCTATTTCAGACCTTGACGCGGTGACGCGGTTTTTGCATAATACACCAAAACAGGAGCACAGCGCTCGGCATCAAATTTCAGGGCCTCTGACACCAAATTTATCCCACGAGAGCAGCAGCTTGCTTCCAAACGCTCTAGCCTGGTTGGATGTAAGGGACTGCAGTATGCCTACGTACGCAGGTGTATACCGTTTGTTGAGGGCAGAATCCGTGCTCCTGATTTCCATAATGCATTTCTTATTTTACCCAGTTCCAACAGAGGCTTAAAAGGGTTAAGTGGTTTGCTCCTGCGAGGAGCAGAGCCACGGTAGTTCAATGCAGATTCTAGAAACAAACTGAGCTATCATTATCCCTCCCAAAGTGAGTGAGGATCAGCCATTTTCTAGTGGGATAAACTAAGCAATAGGACGCATTCAACCCTAGCAATGATGCCTGATGCTTCGGCAGGCTGTGGTTCGCAAGGAGGGAACTAATTGAGAAACCCTGGTCTTGTGAGTCCTCACACGTTCATAGAAGTGCTTAACAAAATGGTACTTTTAGATAAAGCTTAGCAGCAATTTTCTGACCAAGTTATGTTGGCTTCATTCTAGAGAAGTTTGTTAACTCAAAACAGCTGGAGGTGATGTCTAGATTCTCCTGAGCCCTTAATTTCTCTTTATGGGGAGCAGAAGATGTTCTGGGCCTCCGGAGAGAGGAAGAATTCTGGGAAAAGCAAAGGTGGGAGCAGCTGGCTTCCAAAGTGGTCGAGGAGCTCCCAGTGGTCGTTGCTTTCCATTTGGTGAGAAAACTGAACTAGAAGCGTAGCATTAAACGATACTGTGAATCATTAATGAGTATTCCCGTGTGACGCTGTAAAAAACGGTGTGGGTCAGTAGTCTGGCAGAGTTGTGCTGTTTGGGTGGGAGATGGGTGCCAAGGAAAGGAAGCAAGAGCTGGAACAGTGTGGTGTAGGCTTTCTCATCCCTTATAGTAGGTTTTATGGACATCCTAGAAGGTAAGCTTACAAGATAATACGATTGTAAGTGGATTTTAATAGTATACTTTAAGATGACTATTTAAAAGTGAGTACTTGAGTAGTAGAAGATACCTCAGAGAGGCATTATAGAGTACATGAAAGAAGAGCTGGCCCGGCAGTGGTGGTGCAGCCTTTAATCCCAGCGCTGGGGAGGCAGAGACAGGTGGATCTCTGTGAGTTCGAGGCCAGAGTGGTCTACTGGGAGAGTTTCAGGACAGCCTTCGAAGCTACAGAGAAACCCTGTCCTGAAAAACAAAAAGCAAAACAAACAAACAAACAAAAACAAAAAAGAGCTGGAGAAATGGCTGAGTAATTAAGAACACTTGCTGTTCCTCCAGAGGACCCAAGTTTAGTTCCCAACTCAGGTGGCTGAAACCACTTGTAACTCTAGCTCCAACACCCTCTTCTGGCCTCCAAGAACACACACACACACACACACACACACACACACACGACGTAAATTCACACAAACACTCATACTCAAATAAAATTTAAAAGAGCTCATGAATGAGGTAATATTAAGAAAATGTTAAGGAGCTGGGGATGGCTTAGTTGGTAAAGTACAAACTTTAAAACCTGAGTTCAGATCCCAGCACCCATGTAAAGTGCCAGGTTTTGTGGGGAGGTACAGACAGGGGGATCCCTGGAGCTCACAGGCCATTCAGGCTAGACCAATGGATGAGCTCCAGATTTGGTGAAAGACTATGTTTTAAGAAATAAGATGGAGAGTGATTGAGGAAGAGTCATTATTTTTTGGCCTGCACATTCATGCACACCTGTGCACCTATACACATGAATTTGTACATCACACAAAATATTTGTCAGTATTTTTAAATGAAGTAACATCATAAATACTGAAACTAGAATCTCTCCAGTAAACACAATACCGATTAATCTACTAATCTGAGAGTAGAGGGAGAGGCTGGAGTTGGAATGGAGATTGATTGATGTTTGGACAAGAAACTGTAGTGTATATAGTGGCACATGGGAGGCTGAAGCAGGAGGGTCTTCAGTTTGAGGCCAGCTTGGGCAACCATGGAAACAGCCCATCTCAAAAAAAGGAAAGGAAGAAAGAAACCAAGAACATATAAAGAAAGCTTCAGGTATGCCTGTACACCTATGGTAGTCAGACTTCTCATTGCTGTGACAGATGGCCTGGCAGAATGACTTAATGGAAAAAAAAAAGCATTTATTTGTGCTTTAATGTTGTCAGTCCATCTTGGCTGAGAGGGCATGGTGGAACAGCAGTTTACATCATGGCAGCCAGAAAGCAGTATTTCCTCAAACTAGGCCCCACTTTTTCCTTTTTGACATCTCCCAATAATACCATCATATCATGAATCCCTCAAGAAATTCATTAATAATAGGTTAGAGTCCACATGATCTAAGTGCCTTTAAAGGTGACCCCACAGACACCCTGAGAAGTATTCTTTACAAGCGTGGGCATGTTGATATCCAGTGCAGTTGACAGTATTAACTATTACAATGTGAGTGAATGGTGACTATAAAACACCTGGATTATGTATACTACTTTCCACCCCACCCCACCCCACCTCACCCTACCCCTAATCAAGTTGCTCTTGGGAGCCCGGCCATCCACAGTCCTTAACAGACAAGTCTAGTAAACCCAGGGAATTTGTCAGCTTTCCACTTGAATCCTGCTTTCCCCTGCTCCCACTAATTACTGTAAAATGACTAATCCTGTTTTATAACTCCAACACTTACAGCTGTAGGATTGTAGCAAACGTGGTTAAATACTGTTTTGGAGCAGAAATGAACAATAGAGCTCTTTATGCCTATGTTCTTAAACTAGTACAAGGGTTTTCCTTTGGAACTTGTAGTCCATTACCCCAAAATAGTCTCTGAGTGGAAAGGAGCTTTGGCATAAAATTATTTAAAAGAACAATAGGACTCTTTCCACACCAGGAATTAAAAGTATTTCTAATATGGTGTCATATTCCCCCAGAGGGTCAGGAGGGGGAATATGATAGTCTCAAACCAGAAGACCAAATGCTGTCTTGGTCTCTATTTTCTTTGCTTTTGTCATTCAGCCCTCCTGCTCAAATAGTTCAAGCCCCAGTTGTTCTCTGATGCTCCAGCTGTCACTCATCTCTAGCTGTGAGAACAGTCCAGGGACATAGTAGATGCTAAGCATTGCATTCCCTCAGCAGTGTATCTTCAACGCCAAGATTTTCATGTAAGCTTATTCCCACAGTCATTACCAGTTTGTTTTATAGTGTGTGTGTGTGTGTGTGTGTGTGTGTTTAGTTTCACTAAATGTGAACATATATCTATGGACATTCTTAGGGTTTTTTTGAATCTATGATTCAGATATGATTGCATTGTTGTTTTGGGGCAACAATATAATAAACTACACAGAATAAAATCAATTAGGTTTTTCAAATAAAGCAGATTTTTATCTACAAATGAATGGAGTGGGGCGGTGGTGACTAACTCAGGAGGCAGAGACAGGCGGATGTCTGTGAGTTCGAGGCCAGCCTGGTCTACAGAGTGAGTTCCAGGACAGCCTCCAAAGCTACAGAAAAACCCTGTCTCAAAAAAACAAACAAACAACAACAAAAAACAAACAAAAAAATCTAATTAAAGTAAACTGAATGTGGAGAAATCTATCTTCTCAATTTCTTAAGGGCAATTTTGTATTTCTTTTCAGGGGATATGCCATTTGCTAATGAGTTCCTGTCACTGCAAAGATTTCTGCTAAAATTGAAGACAAAGGCATTGCCAGAGGTGAATAATAATTTGTGCCTAAATGCTTCAGTATATTTTGCTGCTTCACTTAAAAGCTAATGTATCTGTTTTCTGTATGAGTAAATAATAGCGTAGATGTTATTGACAAGAAACTCTAATTTATCTAATCTTGTATAAAAAAAAAAAAAAACAGCCCAAAACTTATTAGTTCAAAAAAAAAAAATTAAAGCTAGGCAGTTCTATATTCTGCCCTGGAATTCATTCCATTTTAATGTTGTGTGATCTGAAATGTTCTGACTCATGAATCTGATTGGCTTCTGCTGAGATAGCTTCTTCATGTGGCCCCCCATCCTCTGATGTGCAGTTATGTGGAAGAATGATGGCCCCCGTCCTCTTGCTAAGTTTATGATGCTGAAGTCTCAGGACAGGATTCTAAGGTAGCCAAGTCTGATACAGAAGCACCTAGACTTAAATTTGTCAGTGTGATCTTGGCCCAAGTAAGTCACACGGCCAAATCCAGAGTCAGTGTGTGATTGAACTTAGATGGCATCTCCTGCTGGGAGAAGTTGCAAAATATAAAGTTTATAATGACAATGAAGCTATGCTTAGAGCAGAATTGCTATCCCTCTGTTATATTGGGAGAAAAGAGGAGAACAGAAAGCTAAGCTTAGTGTGTATGGAAGAGCAGGGTCCACAATAGTAAGCACCAACTGAGCAATAGGGTTGGCTGTGATGAAATTCATAATGATACTGAAAGCATTTACATAGGGCCTTATAATTTATAAGACATTTTCACATGTCTTATCACAGTTAGCCTTAGGGTACAGCATAGAACATTCAAGATTCTGTTGATTCCAGTTTTGCAATTGATTAAGCAAGATTTCATGGAGTTTCATTAATCTTCCCATGGTCATAAGACTAGCAGAGGAAAGAGCTAGGCTCTAAGGATTTGTGATGACCTGCCCTACTCCTGTTCTATGGTGAGACTTTGTGCAAAGAAGAAAATGTAAAGCAAATGAACACATAAATATCAGGAAAACAGATTTGAGGTTATACCAGGCAGAATGTATTCTAAATAAATTAACATTTTTATTTGTTTAGTACTAATTGATAGAAAGGCTTCTGAGATTGGATTTATTCTCTTTCTGCTTCTGAACCAACGATGAGGAAATGGGAAGCAATGCTGAAGCAAATTGAAGAGCGAGCATCTCACTATGAGAGGAAGCCATTGTCCTCTGTGTATAGACCAAGATTGTCCAAGCCAGAAGAACCACCCTCCATTTGGAAGCTATTTCATCGTCAGAATCAAGCTTTTAATTTTGTTAAAAGCTGTAAAGAGGTGATTGCTTTATTTTTTAAGAAATTTTAAGTAACACTCAAGGTTTAAAAAAATCATTTGGGCCAGGCGGCGGTGGCGCATGCCTTTAATCCCAGCACTTCAGAGGCAGAGGCAGATGGATCCCTGTGAGCTCGAGGTCAGCCTGGTCTACAGAGCAAGTTCCAGGACAGGCTCCAAAGCTACAGAGAAACCCTGTCTTGAAAAATCAAAAATGAAAGAAAAAAATTATTTGCTATCGTTTCAAATCAGATACTTCACCAAGAAAACACAATAGTAACCTTGATAACACATGACTATAAAAATATCCCTTTGAATTCATTGATCAATATATTTTAGTAATGAAAAATGTTGACATTTCTGTTTTAGTTTTATTTTATGTGTATAAGTGTCTTGTCTACATGTATGTATGTGTACCATATCATGCAGTGTTCATGGAGTTTAGAAGAGGGGGTCAGATCCCCTGGAACTGGAGTTACCAATGGTTGTGAGGCAGCATGTGGGTGCTAAGAACAGAACCTGGGTCCTCTGCAGATACAGCCAGTGCTCTTAACCACTGGAGCCATCTCTTAGCCATCAAGTGAAATATGCTGGGAGGAAGATAAGCATATTCCCAACACATTAAGCAAGTGAGTAGAAGTGCTTAATGTGTGTCAGCCTATTATTTGCTAGTAGTACTCTCATGGAATATAAAGACAAATAAATGAAAAGATAAGATGCATATATAAAATGTAATCTGGGTCAAATGGCTCAGTGTGCAAAGGCACCTGCTGCTAAGCCTGATGACCTGAGTTGGATTCCTGAGACCCACTTGACAGAAGGAGAGAACTGACTACCTAAAATTGCTCTCTGGCCTCCATATGCATGCCCTGGCAAGTGCACCTCCCCACCCCAAGCGCTCTACACATAAATAAACCAATGTAATAAAAATAGTTAAATAATTTAAATATATATTGTGCTCTGTCATTAATTCTATGTAAAAATATGAAGTATTTCATATTGGAGAGAAATAAACTTGTTTTCTGAGTTACAAGATGCTTATTTGGATTTAAACAAAATAGGGGACATTAGAAAAATCTTACTCATTTTGTGTAAACCTAATTCAGAAATCAGAAATTAAAATGCTGAGAGTCATTTGAATATGTTCTTTTCAAAACCAAATAGGTATGTGCTTGCCAGTCATCAGTGTAAAGTTTATTTCAGAAAGATTTTTTTTTTCTGTTTCAGGACTTGAACCCTGCCCGGTCCTCACATATGCTAGGCAAGGGCTGCACCATCCATAGCGCCCAAAAGAGTTTTAATATAATTGAACAACAGAGTCTTTGTATGATTTCTCATTTATGAAAATAGGCTCACCAGCTACTTTAGCTCGATGGACATAAAACGTTCTGTGATGCCATTGTTAGCAGAAGCTCCTCGTGTGGCTCTTCCCTCCCGTATGCATTAGCAGAAGTCCCTTATGCAGCAGCTGTGAATCAGGACTATGATAACTTAAAAAATTTTAATCCTGTGTATATTTTTATAGGAAAGGAGAATTTATTAATATGTTTTAGTTGAAATAGTTTATGATAATATGGAGGTTTTTGCAATTTTATAAATTGAGTCTAATTTCGTAAACTAAGAGATGAAGCTGTCTTAGCTTAAATGAGAGTAAGGGAATTAAGAATGGGCTTTCTCCTTTTGTAATTTTATTTTTAATCTGGAAACTGTGTCTTTATCTTACACATGTATTGTGTCACTGATTTGAAAATGGGAGCTGAAGTCATGGCTCAGCTAAAGTAGTGGTTAAGAGTTACACGTGATCCAATGCCCTCTTCTGGCCTCCAAGGGCTGCTTGCATGCATATGGTACACAGACATACATGCAGGCACTCATATATACAAATAAAATTTAAAAACTTTATTGTACGAGTGCTTGCATAAATGTATGTCTATATACCACATACATGAAGTGCTTGAGGAGAACAGAAGAGGGTGTTAGACCTCATGGGACTGGAGGTACAGACAGTGCTGAGCTGCCATGTGAGTGCCAGGAATTGAACCTATGTCCTCTGGAAAGATCAGCCAGTGCTTTTAACCATTGAGTCATACTTCCAGCCAAAACATAAATAATAATTTTAAAAACACATTTTTTAGGGCCTGAGAGATGGCTCAGGGGTGAATAGCTCTTGTTTCTCTTGCAGAGGACCCGGGTTTGAGTCCCAGCATCTACATGATGCCTTACAACCATCCATAATTTTAGTTCTAGGAATCCAGTGCTGCCTTCTGACCTGACTGGGTACCAGGCATACATATGGTATACATACATACATGCAGACCAAACACACAAATGAAATAAATATATATATGTATTTGAGATAGTGTAGGTGTGGTGACTGTCTTATTTTTAATAAGTTAGTTGTTCATATTCTAAATTTTGGCATCTTGAATGACAAAATTCTTTATGAACATTTATTAGTTACAGTTGAACTTAGATTTGCATGTTATAAATTTTCAAAATTTTATTTTGTATTTTAAATTTTATATAGAATGTTCACGTATTTGCTTTGGAGTGCAAAGCAGGAGATGGACAACGTATTTACCTTGTAACATCTTATGCTCAACTTTGGTTTTACTATAAGTTCCGGTAAGTAGCAGAGCAGCACATTAAACTAAAGTTGGGTTTCTAGTTTTGTTAAAATTAATTCATGCTGAACTGATGTTTAATTCTTGGCCACATGATTAGTTACTTCCCTTAGGGTTACTACTGGTGTGGTGAACACCATGACCAAAAGCAAGTTGAGGGGGAAAGGGTTTATTTGACTTACACTTCCATGTCACTGTTCATCATTGGAGGAAGTCAGGACAGGAACTCAATCAGGGCAGGATCTTGGAGGCAAGATCTGATGCAGATAGCATGGAGGATGCTGCTTACTAGCTTGTACACACACACACACACACACACACACACACACACACACACACACCATTTAATAAACCTGTTAATATTCACCTGTTACTCAGACTTAACTATGAAAAGGTGAGTAAATCAGTATGACTTAAAATACTTTCGTTATAATGTTATTTAAGTGGCTTCAATTACAAAACTAGATTTAGTTATGGCTCTATATATGGATGCCAGTTAGAGGTGAATGAAGATTTTTGTTAATTTTGGTTTTGGTTTATTTTATTTTATTTTGGGGGGGGGGCAGGGTTTCTCTGTGTAGTCCTGGTTTTTCTGGTACTTACTGTGTAGACCAGGCTGGCCTCAAGCTCAGAGATCCACCTGCCTCTGCTCCTATGTGCTGGGACTTAAGGTGTGTACCACCATACCTGGCCCATGGTGGGTCTTGATACAATGTGACAGATGGTGTTTTATTGAAACTAAGTCTCATCTTGAACTGCAAAGGTAGTGCTGTCAGAGTGTATGTAGCTGTACACACAGCTTCTATCTGCTACATGATGATGTACTCCTGTCACTTCTCCTTTTAAAAAAAGTATTTGTTTTGTTTTTAGTTCTGAGTCTGTGTGTGTACCACATGTGTGCAGGTGCTGAGGAGGCCAGAAGATGATGTCAGATTCCCTGGAGCTGGTGTCACAGGTAGTTGTAAGATACTTGACGTGGGTGCTGGGAACTGAACTTGGGTCCTCTGAAAGAGCAGTCAGTTTAAATTTAACTACAAGCCCTTTACTTGTAAAGAGTGTCATCTGAACTTTATGTATTTGCATTTTGAATCAGCACCTGTTCTTATTTACTCGTGTCAAAGCCATTCATCTCAGGCCTGCATAAATTGAACAATTATTGAAGTCTAGAGATTCAGTTTTTTTTTTTCTTTTTAAAAGCCATTATTTTAAAAACACATTTATGGAGATAAGGTTTTAATAAAGATTTAAGCATGGTAGCTGATGAGAGAGAGAGACTGAGATAGGAAAAGGATACTTTACACAGCTAAAAGAGGTGGGTGAAGGTATCTTGAGAAAATTTCCTTTTAAAAACATTTAAAAGGGGAGATATCTCAGTGGTTAAGAACACTGACTGCTCTTCTAGAGGACCCAGGTTCAATTTCAAGCACCCATATGGCACCTCACAACTAATTCTAGGAGATCCAACACCCTCATACAGACATACATGCAGGAAAAACACCAATGCACATGAAATAAAATGAATAAATTAAAACATTTAAAAGTGTCTTCCTAATGAAAATATAGAATTTAAAAATTCCCACAGAAGATTCATGGACTTTGTGTGTGTGTGTGGGGGGGGGGGCGGCAGGTTCTGGGATTCCAGTTTGAGAAAGAACATTCTTTTTATAAATAATATTTGTTTCAAAGTGACAACAAAAACAAAGTTATACAGTATCAAGACATTATGAATGAATAAGTAGCACTGCAATATTGACCTTATTTACCAGTTAAATAATTTCCTGTTAACATCATTTTGTCAGAAACTCTTTAATAGTGTGAGCCACAGACTTATTGTTATCAATTGTCTTTATCAGTTTATTTTGTTAATTCATAGTTACAAATTCATAAAGCAGAATGGTCACTGTGCTTGAGTACAGGGTTGATTCTTTTAAAAGGTGTAAGAAGATATATGGACTGGTGAGTCAGCTCAGTTAGTAAAGGTGTTCACTATTTACACTGTATGATACAAATCTAGAAATCTTGGATTATTCAATTTAGGAAAACCCTCTTGCATTGCTACGAAGTTATTCCTGAGAATGCTGTGTGCAAGCTTTATTTTGATTTGGAATTTAACAAATTGGCGAATCCAGGAGCTGATGGGAAAAAGATGGTTGCATTACTCATAGAGGTAAGTTCTTCTCTTACTTCCATTAATCATAATGAAATATATATTTCATTATTCATAAATAATCAAACAAAATGAAAATTCAATTAATGCCTGCATTTTTTATTACTATATCTAATTTAAAAAGCTGAAATAAATGAGAGTGAGAATTCTTTGACTTCCAGTGTACTTACCTGTGGCAAAAGCTAGATAAAGCAAATTTCACTGTTAAAATAGGACATTGAGATGGAATTCAGGGAAATTTTGACTAAAACTAGTATCAAAATTTTTGAACTGGTAGGAATTTTGGAAATTGTATCAGTGCCTTAATGGATAAAAAAATTAAGACTCAGAGACCAGAATGTACTTGGATTCTATAGATAGAGACTAGCCAAACCAGAATATAAGTAGTTATGTCTGTATTCATCTAAGAAGAGTATAGTGCTAATACTTACTTTTTTTTTCATTTAGCTGTGTCAGTAAAAAAGAATTATATGGACTTATACATTGACATCTTTTTTAAAAAACTTAAGATTGTTTTGCATAAAGTGTATGAAAAATGCAGTGACCATTGGCCTCAGAGTATGCTTTAACCTGTTTTTCTTTTGAATGTTAGCCATATGATAATTTTTGAAAAGTAATTTTGTAACTTGAAAATATATCTAAATTCAGATGTTCTTGCTAAAAGAGGTCTGCTGATTTCATTAAATCTTTGTATATTTAACTTTAAGTTTACATGAAAAACATTCATAAATACTTTCTCCCAACTTTGAAGCAAAATAAACATCTGTAAAGTCTTCCTTCTCCAAGACAAACAAGTTGTATTAGTCTTAAAATAGTCACTGAACACTCAAAAATAAACTTAAATGCCTTGTTTCAGTGTAGCTGAGTTAGTTTTTGACTTTGTCATAATTCATGAGTATTGGCTTTTTTCTGGTTATGTGATATATAGTTCAACAGTGTAATGTAGAATTTCTTACATAGATGGGTTACAAAGAACTAAAATTCAGAGGTTTTCATTGCTACTTAAACATACTGCTACTATTAAACAAAGTGCAACATTGTATTAGAAAGTAGAAGTATTCCTAATGTAATAAACAGAGAATGAAACTCCTGTGTAATAGATTTAAGAAACACATACAAAGGTCATCTCAGGGTTTAATTTTTTTCCTCTTAATTCTTTATATCATATCTATATAACCATTGAAGTACTAATCCATATCGGAAAATGTGGAGGACATTATAGAAATCTAACTTCAAAGTTGTATAACAGTTTTATTTAACATGTTTACTAATTGGTAGAACAGTTCGTACTATTTATAAATAATTACATTGAAATTAATTTCATTTTAGTTTCTTTGTACATAATTTTATAATCTAGTAAATATGTTTTGAGTCTGATGAAGCTTAAATTAGGTTAGCTATTTGTTCTTTTCTTTTTACATTTAAACATTATTTGTTGTGTTTTGGCATGCAAATGTCACAATTCACATGGGGATATAGAAGACAATTTGCAGGAGTTGGTTCTCGCCTTACACCATGTAGGTCCTAGGAATCAAACTCAGGTCATCACACATAGAACCATCTGCCTTCATTCATAGACATTGTGCTGGCTAAATCAAGGTCACATACAGTCAAAGGGCCTTCAACTCACTATGTAGCCAGAGAAAACCCTGATTTTCCTGCCTCTATCTCCCAGTAAAGTGCTTGGATTACAGGTGTGCACTACCACTCCCATCAAATTTGATTAGTTCTTATCTTTAAATTAACAAACAGTTAATAAATAACTGTTTAATAACAACTGGTTATACTGTTGATACCTTTGGGCCCAATGACTTAAATGATACATTTCAATAAGGTCACTCCTAATGCAGATTGCTTAAGCAATCATGTGTTTTCAATCTCCAAGTTTTATAGCATAGTTTCATAAATAATTGTAATTCTGTTTGCAGTTTAACTTAGGAAATATAATTTAGGAAAGGTTGACACTAAAACTGAAGAGCCACTAAATTTACTGTCTATAATGTCAAAGCACTTGAAGTTTATTCAAATACCAAAAGCTTTTTAGCAGGTCAGACTCTGTATGTGGACTATAGGAATAAAATGGTGAGCCAGAGACATGGTTACTGCATAATCTAACAAAGAATAAACAATTAGGATCGAGTTAGCTGCCACAGAAAAGATCCACCTTTTAAATAGCTTCAACAAGGCCAGGTGCATGTCTTTAATCCAGCACTCAGGAGACAGAGGCAGGCAGATCCCTGATTTTAAAAGCCCAGCCTGGTCTACAGAGGGAGTTGTCAGATAGACAGGGCTACACAGAGAAACCCTGTTTTGAAAAACAAAATAAAGCATCTTAAAGAAGATAGAAATTTACCTATTGCTCATATAATATCCAGTGAGATTCTGTTGTATTAAAAACTAACCTTGTTGTTTTTTTTTTTTTCCCAAATCATTGCCTTACTCACATTGCCCACGCTGGCTCACACTGCTATGTCTACATTCTAGTCAGTAGAAAATGGGGCAGGCCAGGGTATATGTTCCCTGTCTGTAATACAGAGGGAACAGATATCAAAATGAGATAAGTTGGTGTGAAACTGAAGCTCTGTAACTACTTCAAAGAGATATCTAGAAATAGTTTGACATAGGTGAACAGATTGAGGGAGACCACTGAGAAAGTGAGAATTTACTAAAGAGAAGTAAGCTTAGATGGTGGAAATAATATGAAGTAATTATGAATTAATAGTACGAATCTAGTAATGGGAAAACATTGATAGTAAGTATAATTTATTGTATATAACTATTAGATATTTAAGTGGATGGCAGACTTTTGCAAACATTTTTGCTAACTTGATGGTAGTTAGTTAGTTCTTCATATTGCACATGTGAAGACTGACAATGGTTAGAGAGAAGTGGCTTGTCTCGTTGCTCCATAGGTAATAATTTAAGCACTTACCTGTGTGAGGCACTGTGCTAACTCCTTAATCTCTTTTTCTCATTACTCCTTGCCATAACTCCTAAAGTCAGGTGATATTTACTATTTCTATCTCACAGCTGAGGAATGTCAAGGTTAGATTTGAGCAGTAAGAGGCAGGGCTAAAACTCACACTTAGCACTTTTTTTTTTTTTTTTTTGGTTACTTAGCACTTTCTAAAACCAAACCTTGGTCTTCTAAGCCAGGTGTTTTAAGGCTGTATTCTTAGAGGTAAGTGTAGGTTCAATAGGAATGAGAAAATTTCTAATAGTTAAAGTTATAAAAGGACTAGAACCAGAGACTATAACTTTTAGCTACTGTACTGGCTAGTGTTTTGTCAGCTGGACATGAACCAAAGTCATTTGGGAAGAAGGAACCTCAACTAAAAGGTGCCCTCTCCAAATTGACCTGTGGGCCATTTTCTTGTTTTAATGATTGATATAGATGGGCCCAGCTCACTGTGGGGCACTGCCACCCGTGGGCATGTAGTCCTGGATGGTATAAGAAAGTATGCTGAGCAAGCCATGAGGAATAAGCCAGTAGCAGTCTTTCTCCATAACTTCTGCATCAGTTCCTGCCCTGACTTCCCCGGATGATGTACTACAAACTGTGAGATGACTTAAACCCTTTCCTCCCTGAGTTGGTCTTGATCATGACATCATAACAACAGAAACTCTAACTAAGACAGCTAGCATTAGGAGATACTTAACAAAGATCTTTTTATTATGGTTTTAGAAGAGATTAGCATATAAATTGCTTGACCTTTAAGAGTTGTCTTCAGTCCTGAGAGCATATGAAATTTTTTTTAATGTGTTTGGATGCTTTTGGTAAGCACATATGTGATCCTGGTACCTACCTACAAAGGCTGGAAGAGATTCCCTGGAACTGGGGTTACATATGGTTGTAAGCTACCATGCATGTGCTTTGAATCAAACTTGGGTTCTCTGAAAGAGTAGTAAGTGCTTTCAACTACTGAGCTATCTCTCCAAACCTAAAGGAAATTTTTAAAAAGTATTTTTAGAATTTTATATCTATGGATGTTTTGTCTGCATGTATGCTTGTATATCAAATGCATGCCGCAGTACCCAAAAGACAGAAGAGGATATTGGAATTCCTAGAGTGGAGTAGTGACACATGGTTGTGAGCTGCCATGTGAGTACTGGAATTGAAACCAGTACCTCTTGGAGAGCAGGCAGTGCTCTTAGCCCCTGAACCTACCTATAAATTTTTGACATAAACATATTGTCCCGTGCTATGGCCTCGCCAGCAAGAACCACACAGGACATTCGGATCCTTCTGCAGGAAAGCTTTAATGCTTCTTGAGAGGAGAGCATAAGCTTACCAGAGCGGAGACCCCGAGCCAAGAATCCCATCCCCTAATAAAGGCTGGCAGCCGCTGCCTGGGACGTGTCACCCTATGATTGGCTTTAGCTCCTCAGGCCATATGAGCCACGGAATAGGCAGAGATCAAGGAAATGGAAAATTACCCAGCA